GCCAAGGCGTCAGCCAATGGGGATCCAGTTAATAAAATGTAGCTGGAGTGTAAAATTCCTTGTAACTCCAACTTGGAAATACAACTCAGAGGCTAAAAATTTGTTTCCCACTAAGTTTGTCATAACAAAAGTGTGAGCACTAGTTTACATTAATGGGTACTTTTACCAATAAGGACAAGTCAACTTGGAACCAAACTGACCTTAGTGACCTAACAGCTGCAACAACCTGTAAACTCATTTCCTACAGTTGTGCTGTGAGCAAATGATCATATTACAAAAGTGATAAGTCCCAGTCACATTATCATGGTTATGATATTACGAGTGCTGCTCAAAAATAAAAGATGTCTTAACAACAAGGATGTTTTTTTGGCCTCTATGGCTTCGTAAGAATCCATATTCAGTGTGTTTAACGTCATCAAATGAATAAAGTAATTGCTTTGCTGTTTTTATGTGATGTTATCACATATTTCAGCTGTTTAGTGGATTTCTTCATATGAAGCACAGTACATTCACCACTGAAAGAAAAAGCCCTTTTTGTTTCTCAGAATTATAATAATATTGCATTTTCTGTGATGTGTGTGATGAAATCCTTTAGATGAAGATCATATGATGTGTTCATGTGTCGAGGTTGCATCACAAAAGTTTAGTCATGAGAGAAGAAATGATCAACAACAACCTGTTAACTTTGAGTTGTTGGTCTATTTAGCAATGATTGCATCATGTGCTGATGTTAGAGCTTGTTTTAGAGTTTGTTTCGTCTCACAGTAACACCTCTGATTGCACTGATGTCAGCGTGTGACACTAATGAAAGCAGGTGTGAAAATTGTCTTCACCAGAGAGGTACACAACGACAGTTAATGGGCTACAGGCTGAGAGCTGTTCAGCCCAGTGGGGCTTCATAACAATATGTGTGTGTGTGTGTGTGTTACGTCCATAACAACGAGACCAAACTTTGAAGTTGTGTACAGTGGACGGATATTTACTAAACTTGAACAAACACGCATAAGCATATGGACATGATATTGTCCTATTTCCTATTCCTTGATTAAAAGCTTAAAATGATTATTATCATGTGAGCATTGACTATATTCAGCTATGTTGTGGGATTACGGCCATCACAAATACTCTCATGTGCAGAACTATGATGACAGTAAACGGTATATTAAAGTTGATAACTAGATCAACAGGCCCTGTAAGGTTGACTAAACATTCACCATAGAAGGAATTATGCTCACTGTACTGCAGGAATAATCACACTGTTGTAAGGATACTCACTGTACTGTACTACACACAGTACTGCAGGGATACTCACTGTACTGTACTACACACAGTACTGCAGGGATACTCACTGTACTGTACTACACACAGTACTGCAGGGATACCTGCGGTGAAACATGCTCCCTCAAAGCTAATACCAGCAAAACATTTTTGTCCAAATTTTGTCCAAACCTGGTCAGAAGAATGAACAAGCCCAGTTAAGTCCTTTTTGGGTTCTAACAATCCCAACAAAACTACAGAAGCATGGTGGGACTTCACCCTCCCTCTTCAAATTGATTAAGTTAATGGTTTTGCTGCTAATAGCCTCTACAATGCTGTAGCAATTACTTTCACCATCTCAGGGGTATCAACCCTAGAAGCCGAAACAAGACCAAACTAATTTAAGGCTAAAAAAGATTGGTTTGTCAATCTGTTTTTTTACAATTACATTGTGCTGGTATGGATTCACAGCAATGATAAGTGATCCTAGACTCTTCATCATCAGCGTCTTGAGCTCATTGGTCAGCCTGAATCTCCATGGAAGCCTAGGAAGATAACCAAATCCAAGTTGTGGTTAGTTGTTAATTCCTTTATAATACAGACGTGTCTTCTCCAAAACAACAGCCACATGAAAAAATGTAATGAAGGGCCATTTGTTTGTGGGATTTCTAAGTTCTATGGGTTGTTGGTTCATTTCTATCATCTTGCCATCTGTCAGGACTCAAGACAAACTTGTCTTCCCTCGTCTTCGATATACTCTTATAACCAATTGAACATAGTGTTGTGTTAGACTTCTTTTTTTTTTTTTTACATTCGCAGAGCACATAGGCTCTTTTGTCAATGGCTTAATGGTGCTGGCTTCAGCACATTTTGTCTTGGGATACCTGCCCAAATTTGAACCCAAATGACTCAATCTACAAGTGTTCCGTTTAGTTTTTGGAGTTTGCCCTTTGTGTGTATGGCATTTCTTTGGAGATAAGTAAACGTCTACTGTAAAAAGAAGAAAATGAGGATGTCAAGCCGTCATGACTGCAAAACTAGGTATATATATATTAGTGCTGGGCAACAATTAAAATATTTAATCACGATTAATCGCATTGTTATGGCAAAGTTCAATAATGAATTCAAAAGTAGTGTATTGCGCACTTTTATTTTAAAAGTACTGCTATATGAACAAAAGTGCAATAACATTTGGTTTGCAAACACTTCAAACAAATTAGGTTATTTTTAACAGCAGTATTCTGTTTACACAGTAGCAGTTATAATACAGCTATAATGATTCTGATAATAGATATTCAGCCGGTGTTCATAACTTTATCTTCATGTGTGTAAGAGATGCAATTAAAATATACACCTTGAAAACTTTTTTGTTTGTTAAATTCTCAGTAGCGATAACTAAATGATGCTTATTATACATATTACAAACACTTTAAAAACTCGACAATATGTATGTTAATATTGTCACTGTTGTAAAGTTTTTGATTGCATGATTTACTTTTATTGTGAAGAGCATGGAAACGGAAGTAATTTTACTTTGAAGAGACAGGAAGTAGAATGGTATGTGTTCTTGACGCTAACAATATTGATGATACGCAGAAAACCACATGTCAGGTGCAAGAGCGCGTTCTGTTCACTGTAACACTGTAATACTGCAGTTCAGACAGTAAAGTGTTCCGTTCAAACAAGACGTGTCTTGGTCCTCACTAGAAGCTCCACTTCACAACAGTCACGTTTGATCTGTAACGAGACGATCGCGCTCGCGTTTGTGTGTGTTTGTGAGACAAGAGTGAAGGACGGTGACAGAGTGTAGGAGGGGTTCTGGACCTGGGGGGAAGAAGGAAGTGACGCCACACGAACACAGCTGTTCACTGCTTGCTGCCTGGTTCTTGTGTTAAAAATGTCGCTTAATAATAAATAAATAAAAAACTGCGTTAATGCGCGATAATATAATCGTCGGCGTTAATTAATTAATGCGTTAACGCGATAATAACACGTTAACTTATTATCCACCCTACGAAAGAAAGTTCATTCCAGCAGTATCTGCAATGTCATTTTTCGGCCACTACCCAAAGCTCATGACTAGGTGAGGGTCAGAACATAGATGGACTGATGAATCGAGAGCTTTGCCTTCCGGCTCCATTTGCAATCCCTTGGTTGGGGCAGGGGCTCAGTTCCAAACCGGAGGGCAGAGAACCATGTCCTCAGACCTGGAGACTCTCATCCCGGCCACCTCACACTGGGTTGCAAACCGTTGACACAATATGCTAATTAAATGTAAAATAATTCATATAATCAGCTTTTCTTCCCCAAGTACTCCAGTCAGTAGTTCTTGTATGCTAGACATGTTGGTAGAGTGAGGGTTCAACACTAAAAGGGACAATGAATGATGTTCTGCATGTCCATTGCATGTGTTCATATTGCTTGGCTGATCTTGAAGTGTTTCATACTGCTGCTTGTCGTCTTGCAAAGCAGGACTTAATAAATCTGCATCACCCATGCATATTGCCTTGGGCTTTGCAAAATAACTAGCAAATATATACCCGATATATGATATGTGATTCATGAGGCTTGTGGTTTTGTTCAATGTATTCAACAGATATTAGGGCCATCATTTACATAGAAAATGTAAATAGAAATTGCTTAAAAATTACAGTATACAAAACGGATACAATTAGAAGAAACTCATGTAGTGTGTTGTGAGCAACAGATTAAATAACCACAGTATAGCCTGGGAAAGGAGGAGAGGAACTGGAGACGTTTAAGGCGTTCTTATGTAATGTTTCTAAAGCAGTGGTTAACCTTTTGTTCCCTTTGACAGCACAGGTCATGGATGACTTTCCCCATCCAACCCAGCACTGAGCAAGTCTCTCTTTTTGACAAGTCAGGTGTGATGAGGTTTCATCAGTGTTGTGTAAAAGGAAAAAGGGAGGCTGCAAGTTTGTACACCTCATATGTATTTTAAAAAATGTTTGCAACTGAATAATTTCAAATAAAATCACTGGGCTACGTGTCTGAAAAAATCTAAAATTGTCACCACTGATGACGTCTCGCGCACTGTTTTTTATGTTTCAGACTACAAGGGAACCATGATGCTCATATCAGTTCATATAATTTGTATTCCTCTCTATTACTCCACCAAAGTCCCTCAAACAAGAGTTCAATTCTGTGTTTATCTGTGTGCGATATGTTCTGCTCTTTTTAACACTGTACAGTTTAGGAATAACCTGAACCAACCAGGCAGGTATAGCAACTGCTTCGGAGAGTGTGCTGTTGTTGTTGATTATGCTGCGGGACTTTACAATGTTATCATCGTTCTGTATATGAGAGTATTTGTGGTGGATGTGTCTCAGGTACGAGCCATGCGGTCTAACCTTGTAGGTGTCACACTCCAGTGTTCAGTGAGTGTAACTGCTAAGAAATCTGAGCTGAAGGCAGCCAGGACTTTAGGTTTCTTATTGTCGGGTTTCTGATGTGTTTGTGCCCATATTATTGAGCCAGGTCACTTTAAGTTAAAGACAGTGCTTCAGTGTATTTAAACATAACAATAGAACAACATAGTAACAAAACAGCATTTAATTGACTTCATTTTAATGTGTTACATGTCAACTACAGAATCAAAATATCTAAAAAACTGTAGTAACTATATTTTGCACGGCCGTTAAGCCTTTCGAGTTTGCTTCAGTGACTCAGTAACGACAGCAAATCCCTTTCCTCATCAAATACAGTTACTCATCAGTCTGTCTCTACAGTATTTTAGCATCACAAGAGCCCGGCTGCAGTATCTTGAGGGTGACAATGAGTTTAATAGATTTTCTAAACCAGGGGTAAAAGAAGGCATAGATCACTGGGTTAAGACAGGAGTTGAAAAACAGCAGCCACACTACAAACGTTGAGGATGAACTACTGTCTTCAATAACCTCACCTGTAAGGGATGGAGAGTAATATGGGCAGAAACATATCAGAAACACAACCACAACAACACCAAGAGTCCTGGCTGCTTTCATCTCAGATTTCTTAGCAGTTACACCCACTGAACTTTGTTTTGTGACTGCTGCAATGTGGGACCGCATGACTTGAGCCTGAGACACAGCCACCACAAATATTCTCACATATAGAACTATGATGACAGTAATGGGGCCGATAAAGGTGAAGAAAAAGTCAACAGAGCCTGTGATATGGTTAAGAACAACTACACACTCTCCGTAACAGGAATTATGTGAATCAGGATGTCTCAGAAAGTCCATCAAAATGAGACTATTATAGAGAACAGAGTAAATCCAACACAGACAAACACAGATTTTTGTTTTGTCCAGAGTAACTCTATTGTTATAACGTAGAGGGTCACAAATAGCCAAATAACGATCAATTGATATGAGCACCATATTTCCAACCGAAGAAGAAGTAATGATAAAATCAACAACATAATACAGAGCACACATGAGGTCACCCAGGAACCAGCAAGTCTCTGTTAAAAGAATTTCAACCGGCATCAGCAGGAGGCCCACGAGCAAATCTGAGAGAGCCAGGGAGAGGATGAGGAGGTTGGTGGGGCTGTGGAGCTGCCTGGAGAGGAAGAATATCATTACTCATGATTATCAATGTTAGCTTGTTAGTAACATCAATGAATGTATTTTGGAGTCCAACATTGTATTTGAACACATAATATTTTCAAGTAAGGATTGTTAAAACAAAGATAGATATTATTAACTAGAACATTTGAAGGAAGACATGTAATTCATGTAAATTGTCAGAACATGTATTGATTCATGCTGAGGGTTAATCTCTGCCTGAAGTGGGAGATAGAGATGATGACCAGCAGGTTGAGAGCTGCGGTGAGCAGAGAGATGAAAGACAGTAGAACGAGCATGCCGTTGGACTGAGGCGGCACTGGTTTCCTGCAGGAGTTGTTGAGGAGGAGTGGAAAACAGAAGTCAGCTCCTTCTGGTGCCTCCATTTCCTGAGAGTAGTTGTGAGACGCTGCTGTGTTCTCTCTGATAAACAGCTTATTCTTCCCTCCTACAACTGCTATCTCTTCTCTCCAGCAGAGACTAAAACCTCTCGCCTCTACTTTGCTATATGCAGTAATCTTCATCGCAGTCTTCATCACTTCCCTCCATCTCTCACTTGGCATATTCTGTCTCCCATTGTTCTTTTTGTCATTAACTGAATAACAACTTTAGCAATCTTGATTATGGTTACCACTACATCCTTGATGGTAAAGTAGATTTGTTGCACATTTTAGACTACTGATTCTAACTTCACCTCTCTGATGGGGAAGGAAACCAGAGCTAGTGCAGGAGGGGGAGTGGTACCAGCTATAGTTTGGTGGGCTCAGCTCTAAGCACAGCCATGGCTGTACGCAGGGTTTTACTGAAATACAGAGGTCCAAAAACTGAGTTTACGAGGGGGCTTCGGGGGCATAACACACTGAAAACAATTTAATTTCCCTGATCTGAATTTGTGCATGTTAAGATGTTTGAAGAAAATTTGATAACAATAGGTTCAAACCATGTCCGTGGGTATTAGTAGCAATTATCTGTCAAGCAGTAATACATGAGAATCTAGTTAAATGTTGCAATGAATGATCCACAATACAATCTCAAAATACAGAAAAGGCTAAAAATGATCACATAACATCTGAAAATGAATATTGACAATGTTTGATTAGAGTGTTCAGGTATAAGCTAATTCACACTGTTCCATCTCACCCTCTGATGTCACCGATTGTCCCTTTCTGTCTCTTGTCTTTCTAGGGTAGGGATAGGGGTAGAGGGATGAAGGGGTAGGGGGAGGTAGGGATAGGGGTAGAGGGATGAAGGGATGTAAGAGTGTAGGGGAGAAGAAACCAGGAGGGTAGAGAAGGTCGTAGAACGAAGGTTGGGGGAGCGATGGGGGACCGTTGGTGTCCGATTGCTGGCGGGAACTGGGGGAATGGAGACTGTAGAGTGGGGGCCGTCTCTTTGGAAGCTCTGGTTGTGCAGAGTCCCCAAAAAGATCCGCAAAAATGACGAACTCGGATGCCGGTGGGCATTTCTGATGTAGGAGAAACCGGTTGAGGCGACACCGATGCGGAAAAGATTGGTCTGAGTAGACTTGGGGGGTATTCTGGATCTGGATAAGATATGGCGAAAGTGGTGTTGAACCCGGGACCGTGTGGCCCCTTTTCCTGTGACGAACGGGGGATCCTGCGGGGAAGTTCGGCTGGCCGGACTTGAGCTTGGGCTTGGGTCGTCGCAAATGGGTTCGTACGGACTTGGGTATGAGTCTTTTTGGAGAGGTAGATGGGCTGGAGTGGACCATATGTATTGGTCTTGTGGTATTTGGGGCGATAGACGACTGTGTCGGAAGGATGGATGTGATGTCTGATGCGGTGGCGTGTCGCGACGGATGGTGGTTGGAGTTCGAGGCGGTGAACTCGGAGTGGCAAAGGAAGCCCGCAAGAATGTGGACTTTAATACTTTGTCCATAAAGGGAGACGGATAGCCTGAGCGGAGTGTATGGATGCCACGGGTGAGGCATCCAAGCAGTAATTCACTAGCTTAGGACCCCACCTCGGCCGAGGCTGAACCTACGTCGATTATTTGGAGCGTTGAGGAATGGTTGGTGGAGAATAGCCAGTAGCGGTTTGGGGAAGGCTTAGTTGAGGATCCACTGCATTTCCCGGGCCTTGCAGATCCCCCGGTCTCCATGTGGGATAGGAGGATGATGACTATGGGGGGAGATAACCTTGGGTGGAATGGTTTAACAAGAGGGAGGGAGGGTGGGATGCGGAAAGCACGAGCCAGCTGAGGCTTAGTGTGGGTAGGTATTTGTAGGAGTGTGGCCAGAAGTGGGCAAGTGGTTGAGGTGTGGTCCTGCTCCTGAAATTCAGATAAATAAATTGATCTACAATACATGAGAATTAGGTTAAATGTTGCAATGAATGATCCACACTACAATCTCAAAATACAGAAAAGGCTAAAAATGATCACATAACAACTGAAAATGAATATTGACAATGTTTGATTAGAGTGTTCAGGTATAAGCTAATTCACACTGTTCCATCTCACCCTCTGTTGTCCCGTTCTCTGTCTCTTGTCTTTCTGCCAACGTGTATTAAAAGGATTTACTAAAACTATGTACACCGTCTTTATTTCATCTTTGTGTTTGAGTTAACCTGAATTATAGAACTATGTCTCAAACAGCCCATGAACGTAAGCAAAATGTGTGTTTTCAAGAACATATCCGAACAATAATACTAATCACACTATAATTATGTGAGGAGTTTGTATTGTTAAATTGTGCCTATAGATTCCACTGTATAATCCAAATAACATATATATGTATGTGGTAATAACACTTTGAATTTGATCAGATGGGTTTGTATTTGCGTTGAACAGCATCATTCTAATCCCATCCTGGGCACGGTGAGCAGTACCTGCTCTTCCCATTTCATCTCCATCACCTTCTCTCTTTCTTTTTCTCTGTCTCCTCATCTTGTTCCCCATCTCTTCCTTCCCCAAAGTAAGCACGAAACGAAAGGTGACCAGGATTTTGCATTCACTTCCCCTTAGCTCTGGAAGTTCCAGCTTGAAGACCTGAGACTTGCAGAATCAGTGACATTTATTGTTATTATTGTATAATATTATTATAACCAGAGTGAAATCTGTGTCCACATTCTTGGAACAAAGTCTAACACATTTTCCATGGATGCTGGGCAATCAGGGTTGTCCCATGTTATCAATTCTGTTTGGGATTTTCATGGATAGGATCTCAAGGTGCAGCCGGAGGGAGAAGAGTGTCCACTTGGTGAACCCAAGAATTGCTTTTCTTCTCTTTGCAGATGACGTGGTTCTGTTGGCTCGGATAAGAGGAACAGCTCAGGACATAGAACAGGTCAGAGGCACTGAAGGCAAGACACATGAAGACTGCCAGCAGGCTGTCAGTTCAGACAGAACTTCCAGACTCAGCTTGTAGGGCACAGTCATTGGTGAGTCAGAGAATCACACAATGAGGGGGCAAACCTGCTCTCACTCCCCATTTCTCAAATACAGACGCTAGGTCAGTGTTCCTCTGCATCTGATACCAATGCACAATTTAGCATCATGTGACACCTGGTTTTCAACTACTACACACCACATCACTTCAGCCCTGATTTTCAACTTGTGCACAGTTTTTGGAGCCCCTCAACAAAAACCCAAGGTAAGAGGTAAATCTGTGTTGGCTCAGCACTTGCACACAGTGCTTCATTGCAAAGCATGAACTGTTTAAAGATGTGGGCTATATAGGGGGTGAATTGAAACTAACTAGAGTGCATCAATGGACACTGTTTAATACAGCACAACCACACAGAAGCTATTGGTCAGT